TCTGCGGGCAGGGGAACAGTGATGGGATGATTCTGCCTGCAGGCACACAGATTGGACACGCTGGGCCACGACAGGGCTGCTGGGAGGTCATAACTTCCTCAAATGCCAGGAGATGGGCAGAGACCTGGGGCTGTAATGGACAGCTAAGCCAAGTGGGTTTTGTATCACTTCCCCATTGCTCCATGTCACTGTGGCAGCATCACTGCTGCTGTCCTTACCACCACAGAAATAGCCTCGTCCTCGGCTTGGACCCCAGTGATGGTTAATGTGCCCGTGTTGCCGGATATGGATCCGGAGAATCGCGAAGGGATGTCCGAGGGTCTGTTGGTGTTATCCCAGATCACAGTGACAGGGGCACTGCCAGGGACCTTCTGCTGGTACCAGCCATACCAGTTGCTGCTACCCCCAGAGCAGGTGATCTTCACAGGTGATCTCCCACCTTGTGAGACAATGAGGACAGCTGAGTCAGCGCTGCCTGGAGCAGGGAACCTGGAGAGAGAGAGGAGAGAAGGGAGAAGATGGGGGTCAGTGAGTGCCCCAAGAGCACAGTCCTCCCTGGGCAGAGGAGCAGGAGCCCAAAGGCCTTGTCTTGGCATGGTGAGTCTGGCCATGGCACCTGAGGTGTGGCTGAGCACCATGAGGAAGAGAAGGATTCAGGCCATGGTGTGATCCCACCAGCTCCATGTCCTCACCCTGATGGGGCTGTGCTGTGGACCCTGATTCCCTTTTAAGCCCCTGCCCACCCAGGACACAGTCCCTCCAAGCAAATCTGACCCTCATGGCTGGATCATGCCCACGCCTCTCTCCTCACCTCACTCCCCACTCCATGTCCAGCCCCACCACTCCAGATGCAGCAGGGCTTGTCCCTGGGCACTTAGTGGAGACATCTCCCAGCTCCAAGCCCAAAACCTGCCAGCACAGACACCATGTCTGCAGCTCACGCTGAGTGGCTGCAGGATCAAGGACCGAAGGGCGAGGCAGTGATGGGCACCGGGGGCAAGGAAGTATAGGAGCACCCACAGCTCCTATTGAAGGGGCTGGGATGATGCCAAGCCCCAACAAGCACGAAGGGATGTCCGAGGGTCTCATGTCATCAGAGCAGGTCACAGTGACGGGGCACTGCCAGGAGCCGTCTGGTGGAACCAGCCATAGCTGCCATCACCTCGGGAGCAGTTGATCTCAATATTTTTTCTCAGATGGCTGACACCAAGGAGAGATTATACAACACTGCCAGGACCAGGGAACCTGGAGAGGAGAAAGGGCAGAAGAATGGTGTTAACCAGTGTTCCAGGAGCACAGCTCTCCACGTGCAGGGGAGCAGTGATGGGACAACTCTACCTGTGGGTACACAGATGGGACACTATGGGGCACAACAGGGCTACTGGGCAGTCATAAATTCCTCAAATGTCAGGGGATGGGGACAGTCCTGGGGCTCTAAGAGCAGGAAAGTTTTTGTATCGCTTCCCCATTGCTTTGTAACACTGTGCCAGCAGTACCACTGCTGTCCCAGCCACCACAGAAACAGAAAGCCGCATCCTCGGCTTGGACCCCAGTGATGGCAAACATCCCCCAGGAGCCGGAGAATCGCGAAGGGATGTTCGAGGGTCTCTGATCATTGTAGTAGATCACAGTGACAGGGCCACTGCCAGGGACCTTCTGCTGGAACCAGCCATAGCTGCCACTACTACCAGAGCAGGTGATCTTGACGGTGTCTCCCACTTTGGCTGACATTGGAGGTGACTGAGTCAGCGCTGCCTGGACCAGGGAACCTGAAAAGGGAGAGGAGAGAGAAGAAAAGACAGGAGTCAGTCAAAACCCCAGAAGCACAGTCATCCAGCAACGCCTCCCTGTCCCTGAGCTGGTCACAAGCCCAGTGGGTGGGTGCTCGGTAGAGGCAGCCAGAGCTGGGGCAGCTCCTGCTCTGACTCAGGGCACAGAGATCACGGGTGTCGTTGGTAGCCCCAGCCCAGACCAAGAGTGGCTGCACCCATAAGAAAATTCCACCTGATGCTTCCTGTCCCATCCAACC